TGTGTATAACCTTTATCTGTCAGGTAAATGTCCTGGTCGTTTTATCAATTCATAAAATGAATAAAAAAAACGAAACGTGTCGCCATACGACCTTTATCAACCAAGTTTTCTCAAAACAATATTAAGCAAAATGTAATACGAGATACTTTAAAAAATTGACATAGTCACGCGAACCTTATCGTGCTATTATATTATAAATATCGTCTCTACACTATCTCTACTATAGTCATCATTGTCAATATTAAATTTATAAAATAAAAACAAGTTATTCCTCTTACTAATATTATAAATGCGACTGTTTAGATGGATGGATGTTTGTTAGAAGGTATCTCTAGAACGACTGAACAGATCTCGCTGAAATTTGGAACACATGTAGAACATAGTCTGGAAGAACACATAGGCTACTAGTTAAGTTTTTTTTTTAATTCCACGCCGACGAATTCATGGTTGACAGCAAGTGTAGTAATAAAGTTCTGATTCAATTAAATTTATGTATAAGATTATTTTACTTTAGGAGGTTACCGTGATACTAATATATTTTACCAACATAAATTCTAAAATACATATGTAATTGTATAAAACCCCACCATCAATGATTACTATTTGTCTATGTAGACTCATATATTTGAATGTTTTTATATAAACATCATAGTGTTTTTAAGTCCTAGTTTATCTATAAACATAATACTTCAAACGAAAGATAATCCTGTCTAAAAGGAAGGTGTAAGCTTTGCTTATCTCTGCCCAAATGACTGACACAAGTTTACGGTCGCGCCGGCTACACAAATAGCTTTGATAATACCCCACTTAAGTTCACTTAAGCACAACTTAAAAGTTCATAAAGCTCTTAAGTATGTATTACTATTTAAAAGATACGTTTGTGTTATATTGTTTTCACAAATATTTACGTATTATGTACGTCATGAATTATATAATTTTATATTATCAGAATTATGTATTTCTAGCTGTCAACTGCGACTCCGTCCGCGCGGGATTTAAAAAATTAATAATTAGCGGATGTATTCTTCTAGACTATGTTCTAGATCCATCTAATGTCAGCGAGATCCGTTAAGTAGTTCCGGTGATACCAACATCCATCTAAACATTCGCATCTATTTATAGAAAAGAAAGTCGTGTTAGTTACACTATTTATAACTCAAGAACGGCTTTAAAGATATGGCTGAAAATTGATGAGACGGACATCGGTTATTAATTTTTAATTTTTTTTTTTGGAATTATGCCTTGATGAGTTGCTTTTTATTTAACTTTCTAATATTATAAATGCCAATGTTTAGATGGATGTGATGTGGATGGATAGATGGGTGTTTAAAGATATCTCTAGAACGGCTGAACCAATCTCGATTAAATTTGGCATACGTATATAACATAGTCTAAAAGAACACATAGGCTACACTAATTATTATTTTTAAATATCCACGCGGATGGACTTGCGGGCGACAGCTTGTTTATAATATTAGTAAGAAAAGTAAGATTTTGATTTTACGTCAAGTAAATAAATATAGGTATTACATTTGCGGGAAAATAATTAACTCTAACAGACTCATCTGTTTTGTATTCATGAAATTTTATTGTTAGGATGTGCGCAGGATATTCAAAGATGTGTTACCTTAATTGTAAATTATCACTTTTCCTCTCCCGCCTCGGCCATGTTACTCACTGACTACTAATAATGCAAATTGTATTATTTATCTTTTGACGACAATGTCCTTGAATTAGATAAAATTTAGTATTGCAAGGAATTATGTAGTTAATCAAGAAAACTCTGTCAAATCTCCTTTTAAACGTCAATAGCCTAATGGTTAAGGATACGGATTTTCGATCACGAGGTCGAGGGTTCGTATCTCGCCATTCGACTATTGTCGTAAACTATATCATAGCACAAGCCCAGAGCTTAGTTGGAATGGTAAAAGAAATATTAGTAAATTTACAAAAAATCTGCTAATATTTCTTAAAAAAATATGACTTAAAAAAATCTAAGTTTTAAAATAATAAAATAAGGAATGTTATTACTATATTTTACTTATTATATTTTCTTTTCTTCTTGAAAGAAGAGACGTAAGTTTAAATTTTAAATTACTTTCCTCTGATACTTGTCCGTGTTCGTTAACGTCAAACAGTTGTATTGTGTGGGAGTGCGACCCTGGATGCCAAATGTTGTACGTAATACTATAATTATACTGTCTACATTCATATTTACAACTGTGTGACAGCAAGATGCTTGTCTCCAAGCAATTTCAGCAAGTAGGAAGGTCAACTTTTATTAGGAATGGCAATAACGAATTAGGACTACATTTGCAATGTCGTCACTGTAAAAAGGAAGTTTACTACAGAATTATTGCTGGTTGATGTAACGGTCGATTGAACAAAAATGTAATGAGGAATAAGCGTGTTTTTAAATTACATGATTTAAGAATATCGATTAAAATAAAAAAGGAATAGAAGAGCATCAGTGACTTAAGAGTTAAGCAACTAACTTGTAATCTGAAGGCCCTGGGTTCGAATCCTACCATGCACTAATATGTATTTAAATTTTAGATTTACATATGTACAATTTCGTTCTTCATCATCAGCTCACTATACGTCCCCACCGAGGGGCTCGGAGCCTACCCTAATTTAAGGGTGATTAGGTCACGATGTTTTTCTTCACCGTAAGAACTTCGGATACAACCTGCACATATCTGAGTAGAAACTCAAAGATATGTGTGAAGTCAGCAACCTGCACTTGGCCAACGTGGTTAATGGCCTATTCACCCACAACTAGGCTTCGAGCCTTGAGTCGGGACGTGAGCTGATGATGACCCATCTACAGAATTAAGTTAAAGTTTGTATGTTTAATTCTTATGTGTTCCTAAAGCCACTACATAATCAATTTAACTTGGGTAGAATATTCCGACAAGGATTTTCTGTTTAAAATTAAATTAGCTGCCTTATTTACATTTTATTTTTATTAAGACATTTTTATTTTATTTTACGCTTTACGGATAAATGCACATAAGTGATATGCGATCTAGGTTATCATTTAATGTTTATGTTTTACTAATTGTTAATTTTGTACAAGGGATGTGCAACGTCCTGCTGTATATATCTGATAAGAGGGAAGTAATTACTGTCCTAAATACATCATAATTAACATGGAAATGAAAGTAATAGTGTAAATAAGAGACTCTGGTCTAGCGGTGGATAAATGTAGAGCCATATAACATGATTAAAAAAAATGTGTATTAATTTTTATTTTCTTTCATTAATTAAATTAATTGGTTGGTTATTATAATATCAACTTTAAATTTTACTTTCATAACCTGTAACTTGGTTGATGTTCAGACCGCCAGGTTCCATACCATCTCGATGGCTGCCAATCCACAACCAAAGTTTCGCGCAAACCGCACGCGAAATTTCCTGCTTCGCACAGCAGCGTTGTGGAATGGTCTGGCCTCGGCGGTATTTCTAAACCGCTACGACTTAGGGTCCTTCAAGAAGCGAGCTTATCATTATCTCAAAGGCCGGCAACGCATATGTTCCTCTGGTATTGCTCATGTCCATGGGCGTCGTTGGACACCTCGGTGTTCCCGCTGCTCGTTTGCCCTTTCTGTTAAAAAAAAAACTTACATATCACTTTCCTGATAATCATTAGAATGGTGATAGATGAAGCCTTGGAAATTAATTCACCTACTAACCGTGGGTTTCTCAGACCAAAGTCTCAGTTTAAAACATATTGCTATCTCTGTTTTGTCAACGATAATGACAGGGATGACGATATGTATAAAGAGATATTAGTCTCAGAAAACAACGGTATATAAAATATAACTTGTATTTTATTTAATACGTTAACTGACCTTCTCTATCGCGTTCATATTTGCATCACGCCAATCGTTGCATGATGAATGGTTTTAATAAATCATGTAACCAGTTCAACTTCAAAGCAATTTGCTGACCAATACGTTAACATGATTTTAAGACCTTGATATTTTAATAATACTTATACTTATGTATCCATAAAGTTCCAGAAAAATCAGTAGAGACCAGGTGCTTTTAATACTAACAATATTTTCTTGCACTCTTTATTGTCGTATGACTTTTAACAAGATTTTATTTGAGGACATCACAATATATGCATAGGTGCACCAAGATTTATGTAGAAAGTATGGAAAGCTTCTACAAGTTGTGTACATTTAATATATCTAACTGTTGGTTTCTGAAACAAAAATCTCTGTACAAAACACATCATCATCCCTCTCATTATCTTTGACAAAACAGAGATAACCATTGGTTTTAAACTGGAATTTCGATCTCCGAAACCACGGTAACTGTATTAATCAATTAGATATTTCGCTGCAGCTAATAAAACTAAGAATTTACGGAAGTGCTCAGCTAATTTCTTTATAAAGTAATATTAAAAGAAATATTCAGCTCGATATTTTTATATAAAATAGTTGCTGGTGATTATCTATTACTTTTTAAAGATTCTCGGGACTTAATGATCGTTATGCGCTAGTCATGAACAATGTAGCCACCCACGGCGTGCTTACAAAGGGATAGTATGACAAAGGACTATCGTGTTACTAACCAACAACTGCTAAGAGGCACAGATGCGAAAAAATCTTAATATTATTATTTTTAATGAGTCAAAAATTTAATAGAAAATAAAAGATGTCACGTCTTTTCAGGTGGCCACTAGCCCGTTTGCCACCATATAATTAAAAAAAATATTGTTTAATGCCAATACATTTTTAGAAATACCCCACTAATATTGTTCCATACTTATATTAGTCGCGTCTGTATCGAAATATGGGAAGCTTTAAAAACCCAATAGTGATATTTTTTCTATCGAATTTAGTAATAATTACAACATTTTTAACATTTAGATATTAAAAAATGAACGTGGGTTGTCTCCTGTCGAATAAAGGATTAGGAATTAGGAGTTACAAGTGGAGGTGGTCCTTATCTGAGTTTCAACAGTCGCTGTGTAGTGGGGCGAGCTGTCGCGTCGCATTCTGTCTCGACCGCCGCACGCAGCACCTGCGCAAGCGCACGCGCACGACTCCAACGCGAACTTTATAACGTTTTAAATATGTTTTCGTTTACAGTGCTGAGGTGAAAAATTTATTTTCAATTGTTTTTATAGTGAACCAAAGTGTATTAAGGTGCGAGAAAGTGAAGGATTAATTTGTTTCGATCGAGTTCAACCCTCTAACAACTCAAGGTAATTTTCGATTTTTCATAAAGTTTAAAGTAAAATTGTTCTTGTTATAGTTTTAATGATTGTTTAAGGTCAGATAAAACGCCTTGTCATTTTCGTCGTAACTTTCACGGCAACGTTTTATTTTTTTTACGTCTTGCAATCTCTTATTATATAAATGAAAATAAGTGGTACGCGAAATGATTTGAAAAGAAAATATAGACGTTTCAAAATTAATGTAATAAATATTTTGTTGTAATTAAAATATACACAGAAAAAGAATAATGTAGAAAAAAAAATTAAATAGAGCCGAGGATTTTTTCTACTTTAATTGGTACTGGCATATAATAAGTGCTTTTATACGCAAGCGCGTTTTTTGATTATGGGCAAAAATTAAACCTGTTTGAAATAATTTAGTAGACGTAGGTTTGAATTCGTTTCTTTTGACGTCTTCAGACTTATTCCAAATTTAAATTAAACTTATTTATTTAAAAAAAGAATTTGTAATTCAGCAGTTGAAAGTAATGTAAAAATTTTATGCCATAAAACCTTTCACGCCTTCGTTATCGCAAATTTAACGCTTTGTGCTTTACATGATTTATGTTCCGTATATGACGGTTTTTTTTTTTTAAATCAAATATAAAGTCAATTCTGTTTTGGCATTTTTAGAGCGTTACAGTAAAAAGTAGGTGAAATTAAATATGAGAAAATTTAAATGATACTTATTCTAGCAATAGATTAAAAAATGGACAGTTATAAAGCACAAGGCGAACTTTACAGCCTAAATTTAAATGTACAAAAACGATTACGGCGAATTGTTAAATTGAGGTCGTTATTTTAAAGGTTCAATTTAGTTTATTACTTAATTATTGCTAATGGTCTTTCTAAAAAAGATGCTAATTAAAAAAAATCTTTTGCACAGGATAATTTAGAGAATATTCTGCTTCCTCATACTTATAGAAAATTACCGCTAGATTCTTATGAATTACTCAAGCTCACATCAACAACACCACAGTAACGGAGCCCTAACTGCAATAGTAGCGTAGTTAAACCTAGAATCAAAGACATCAGAAATATGATCATAGTAAGCTGATGTACACAGCTCTACCAAAAAAACATAGAGATATATTTATCCACTAAAATGAATTAAATTGTGGAACAATAAAAGAAAATTAGAACACAATAATTTGTGTTAATATGTTTTAAGTATGACTGAAGTGAAGGACCACGAAATAAAATTACTTTTACAAAATATTTAATTATTTATTCTGGCAACACACGCTAATCGATGAGCACTGTATACTGCCAGTTACAAAGAATGATGTTCACTGCAAGCAAAAAATGAAAAAAAAAACAAAAAGTCTCATTTGTGAACTGTAAACAATGACCGATGGTTGAGAGCAGGTAGATATAGGGATGGGTTTGAAGATACTATGATGGTCCCGGATTCAGGTCGTAAATCGATTCTTTGTGTTACAAAGGTGCAAGATGTCCGTCAGGTGACAGGCGTGTCGCCTTTTGTGAATTTTGTACACGATTTCCTAAGATATGGCTTCTTAAAATTGTTTTTCTTTTTTTATTGCCTGGCCCCCAGCTAAGTGAATCGACTATCTTTTACTAAAAATATTAAAAATAGTTGTTAGTTTATTTTAAATATTATGTACTACGATACTAGTATTATATCGAAATTTTTTTTTTTTAAAAACTTCGTAAATGCAAATTATAATGGACTCTATCTTTCAATCACTCAAAAATCTAAAGAGTAGGTATTTGGAATTGAAAATATTAAATTAAATTAACCTAAAAACCGATCTTATTTTTTTATACGAACATTACGCAACATCCGCTTTTAAAGTGCGTGCATTGTAATTGAAAATAATAATAATATTTTGACAAAATATACATCTCAATGTAAAGTATGCAATCAAAGATATCCGGATACGATGATTATATCAATTTGATTATATACATTGATTATTACATCCAATGACTTTTGTTTCTGACGTATAAAAATATTTTTACAATATTTTTTTTTTAAATCATAAGGTGGCAAACGAGCGAGCGGCCTGACCGGCTGTAGTAGCGAAGTGACCGTTGCCCATAGACCGTTATTGCATATGCGTTGTCTACCTTTGATCGACGGAGGAGAGGATGCACAGAGAGAAAATATTTTCCCTTTCCATGCATCCTCTCATCCGGAAAGTCCACTTCCACTTCCCATCCTTTCCTTATAAGAAAAAGGGTGGGAAGGGAAAGAGGACTAAATTAGGCCTCCGGGATGCACACTCATCAGACGAAACGCGGAATTGCTTCCACTTCACGCCGGTCTTCTGTGTGGTTGTGGTATTTCAGTTAGTGGGCGAGCCGGGCCAATTCGTGCGAAGATGTTAAAGCGGGCTCTACCACTGTTTTTTGCATAACACCTGTAACATTTGTACACACCTTCAACAATTACACATTTCACCAATTACCCAATAACTAGAAGCATAAAATTGTGTTTTTAATTTCTAACATTATAACAAATAGTTTTGGAAATAGAAATAGATTTTAATACAATCCAAAAGCCGAACACGTTTGCGTAATTCGATGTTGCAACTTACATTAGAGCTAAAGTAACTCATAATGATAGTACATAAGATGCAATAAGTAAAAGAATTGCTATCAATTTGTTAACTCGCTACAAATTAAATTGCAAATTTACCCTTTATGAAATCCCTAATGACTTCTTAATGTATACAGAAAATTACTTGCTCTATATTGTATTAAACGACCAATAGTTGAAGGTCAAAGTTGTATTAGAATGATTATATGAAAGATTAAGATTGAAAAATTTTAGAGAATATCATCATACTTTGGTAACTTAATACAATTTTATAGTGAAAAGTACTTAACCTCTTAAGTACAATCATAGACAAAAATATTATGAAATTGTGGCATATTTAAAAGACGAATAGAACTCGATAAGGACAGCGTTATGTAGTAGCGAAGCACTTTCGTTGTCGACTGTACGACTTGCCATATACATCGGAATGATCCACGGTGTTACCACCATGGAACAATACAATACTATTAAAATACGAGTCACGTATATTTGTATAATTGCGGTGACGCTGATGGTTAAGGATTAAGACGTTCATAAAGTAGATAGAATTTTGTTACGAAAATGTTTGTACTAATCAAGGTTGATTTGGAGTGATTGTAATAATGGTCCTTTTTCTAACTTTCTATTTATGCTGAGTTTACATACCTATATTTGAATTTATGCATTTTTTTTAAATTTTATGTTAATTGTATACAAAGCGCTTCACGTGATTTACTACTAAAACTATCTTACTAATAAGTCCGAATATTTGGATGTATGGATGGATGTTTGTTAAAAGGTATCTCCAGAACGATTACATAGATCTAGCAGAAAGTTGATATAGATGTAGAACATAGCCTGAAAGAACACTACCATCACCATCATCAGCTCACTGTATGTCCTACCGAGGGGCTCGGAGACTACCCTAAGTTAAAGCTGAAAGAACACATAGGCTACCAATTAAGGTGGTTAATTCCGTGCAACCGGATCCGCGACAGCTTTTGTCTACGAACTAAATCTACTACAAAAGAATCAAGCTTTATAAAACTCCACGCTTTATATTGTGTTTATTGCGAAACACGTGTACAAAATAGATTTTTGCCCTTTCCGTTTTTAAGAACAGAGATGAGAATATAATTTTTCTAATGTTTTAAAAGTTTCTGCAGTGTAATCCAACTATTAAATCGTGGTATCCTTTTCATGTTAACAATTCTCAAATTCTTTAAGGTAAAAAAATAGTGATTAGTTAACGAGACTCATGTTCAAGCTATTGATGACAAATTACATAATTATGCAATATGTGACAATGAAATAAATCTCATGAATATAAATAATTTTTAAACAATAAGTCGTGCTGTTGTCATTAAGGTTTAAACCGTAGATTTTTGAGACGAAAATCTCTGTATAAAACATATCGTCATCTCCGTCATTATCTTTAACAAAACAGAGATATCATGTTTTAAACGTGGATTTTAGTCTCGGAAACCTACCGTTAATAATTTTACCTCAGTTTTTATATTTACGAAGTTTAGAGTAAATCTTATTATTGACTATATTGTATAATATAAAAAAATTACATAAAATAATTATCTTTGGAAATTTAATACTTAGTTTTAAATTGCGCGTACACGTAAAAATCTACAGTGATTTTTGCAATTGAAACGTAGCATCTGTTAGGAAGAAAATACGACACTGTGCCGGTGTACTGGCACAACACTAGCTTTACTGAAATGTCGACGTTTATGTCCCCTCACTAATCATTCTGACACTTGACTTTATAATGAAAGCGCCATTCGCGCTAAAAGATTTCTAATAAATAAAGTCTAGAACTACAAAATTGAGATATCATTTAAGAAAACAATGAAGCTTTAATATCTCAGCATATTCGACACTTAAAGCGGAAGTCACAAACAGAAGGAAGTTATTACGAAATATATGAAAACCTTTAATTTGAATGCATACTCAGAGCTTATTTCATCCAAGGATAACGCCTTTCGGTCACTGACGTCGCCAGAAAATACACTACGAAGGTAAAAGTTAACAAGTGTGATTATACGTTTTTTAACCTATTAATATGTACTACTAGCTGTTGCCCGCGACTCCGTCCACGCGGAAGAAAAAAAAAGTTAATAAGTAGTATAAGTGTTCTTCCAGACTATGTTCTACGTCTATGCTAAATTTCAGCGAGATCCATGCAGCCGTTCCGGAGATACCTTCAAACAAATATCCATCCATCCAAACATTCGCATTTTTAATATTAGTAAGAAGTAAGATTTGTAAGACTACTGGTCGCCCATTGGACGTGCGATAATAATTTATATTATTTTTTTTATTTTCTGTACAAAATAGCTTGCACTTCTCCAAAAAAAAAAGTAAAAAATTTTCATCAGCATATGTGATTGGAATTTAGTATATTTGGCCTAATCATCCCTAAATTAGTTTA